TCCCACGCTCTTTTACAGTTCAAGGACCAGCTAGCGAACAACGGAGCTATTAATAGCTGGAATCCCTCTGTGAAACCATGTGAATGGGAAAGATCAAATTGGGTCGGTGTGCTGTGTTTGAATGGAAGCATTCGGGGTTTGCAGCTTGAACATATGGCACTCTCCGGCGATATTGATTTGGATGCACTTGCTCCCTTGCCTTCGTTTAGAACATTAAGCCTTATGGACAACAATTTTGATGGTCCATTGCCTGATTTCAAGAAACTAGGGAAGTTGAAAGCGTTGTATTTGTCAAATAACCGATTCACAGGAGACATTCCTGACAATGCATTTGAAGGCATGGGTTCATTAAAGAGACTGTATCTGGCAAATAATCTTCTTGCAGGCAAGATTCCTTCGTCACTTGCTACCTTGCCTAAGTTGATGGAATTGAAACTTGAAGGAAACCAATTTCAAGGCCAAATACCTAATTTTCAACAGAAGAGTATGAAGACAGTAAATGTAGCCAGCAATGAACTGGAGGGTCCAATCCCAGAAGCCCTAAGCAGATTGAGTCCGCATTCATTTGCAGGTAATCTTTCTATCGGAGCACAGATTACTTATGCAACTTTATGATGTATCTTTAACCTTTCACCTGCATTTTCCTGAGAAAATCTTTCTTAACCATTTTCAGGCAATAAAGGACTATGTGGACCCCCGTTAGGGCCATGCATAACCTCTCCACCTTCTACCCCCAAATCCACTGGGAAGCAATTTAGCATTCTATACATTGTAATCATTATATTGATTGTGCTGCTAATGCTGGCAGCCATTGCTTTTGCTTTCCTTTTGTTTTCCCGAAAAAAATGTAAAAGTCGAATACAGAGGACAGCATCATCACCAGAGGAGAACTCCAACAAAATGGTGGCTTCTTACTATAGAGATGTACATCGTGAATTGTCAGAGACTAGTTCTCATGCAAAGAAGGCTGATCATGGAAAGTTGACATTCCTTAAGGATGACATTGAGAAGTTTGATTTGCAAGACTTGCTTACGGCCTCAGCGGAAGTTTTGGGGAGTGGGACATTTGGATCTTCATATAAGGCAGTTGTCGTTGGACAACCTGTGGTTGTTAAGAGGTATCGGCATATGAGCAATGTGGGGAGAGAAGAGTTCCATGAGCACATGAGAAGGTTAGGGAGGTTGAAACATCCCAACTTGCTGCCGCTTGCGGCATATTACAATAGGAGGGATGAGAAGCTTTTGGTTACAGAGTTCGCTGAGAATGGTAGCCTGGCTAGTCACCTTCATGGTAAGTTCATGATGCATCAACTGTACTTTTTCTGAAAACGTCAAGTCTTTGTGTTCTTACAGCCATTCTGCCTGTCTTCTACAGGAAATCATTCACCGGAAGAAGATGGACTTCATTGGCACATCCGCTTGAAAATCGTCAAAGGAGTAGCCAGGGGTTTGGCTTTTCTCTACAATGAGCTTCCTATAATTGCTCCTCATGGACACCTAAAATCTTCCAACGTGCTCCTAGACGAGTCGTTCGAGCCTCTCTTGACAGATTATGCTCTAAGACCCGTGGTCAACCCTGAACATGCCCACATGTTCATGATGGCTTACAAGTCACCTGAGTATGCACAACAAAGCCGGACATCAAACAAGACAGATGTATGGAGTTTTGGCATTTTAATACTGGAGATGTTAACTGGCAAGTTCCCTGAGAACTATCTAACACCATGTTATAACAGTGATGCAGACTTAGCAACTTGGGTTAATAACATGGTTAAGGAAAAGCGAACAAGTGAAGTGTTTGATAAGGAAATAGTGGGAACAAAAAATAGCAAAGGAGAAATGATAAAGCTTTTGAAGATTGGATTAAGTTGCTGTGAAGAGGATGTAGAGAGAAGGTTGGACATTAAGGAAGTTGTGGAGAAGATTGATGTACTGAAAGAAGGAGACAACGATGAAGAACTTTACGGGAGTGAAGGGAATGCATATAGTGTTAGAGGGAATGACCAGGAAGGATATTCCTTCACATTGGATCGATGATTGTCGGAGGAGCATGAAGTAAAAGGCATATAGAACAATATCACGAGGGATGACAGGTTTCCTGACTCCCACACAGTGAAGAAGAACATGAATTGTGGAGCGATCTGTTATGAGGGTTAGCTTTCTCTGTTAACTGTAGAAAATGTTGTAAAGCAACAATGGGGGTTAATTAGCTGATAGAATTTTAATTTTATGTTTTTGGGTTTTAGAGGGAAAGAGGAAAAAAGGAAACCAGTAAGAATATTTTTTCTTCTTCCATTCAAATCATTTTGGTCATCATTTGTGTTATCTCCCCCGCATGGAAAGTAATACTAAGAGGTACGCCTGATTCATAGCATCACAGTAAACCAGGTCTGATTTGTAACAATCCTTGTTATTCTTCACTCCTGACTACGGCAGAATGACGGAAGAAAACCATCATTTTTCTAACCTTCATTTTTAACAGTTATTCTTCACTCCTGACTACGGCAGAACTTTGTAAACTTGGCATTCATTTGACAGTGCAATTTATTTCCAGCTGCTAGAATTCACACGCATGTCCTCGTCCTTCCATTTATTTTCTGTCTCTTTTCTCGGTCAGTTTATGATGCATTTGAATTCTCCCTGCAGTGTATGCTCCTGCCATAAGGCATCATAGGCTCAAGCTTTGCTATCATTCTCAAACTCAAACTAGAGTCGTAGGAAGTATTTTTCCACAGGGAAGTCTTCCAATGACATGCTGTTAAGGTTTTCTCGACCTTAAAGGCTTGATCAAATGTATAGTTAATGTTGCAATCTTTATCACCAGATATCCCTAAAAAGGAATTACAAAAAAAAAAAAAAGATTTCTTCATGAAGATTTAAAAAGTCACAGTTTTATTTACTGAGAACTTTATGCTTTCAGACCGATGATTACATTTGGAACAAGAATCAGCAGATTTAATTAAATTACAGAGATCACCTCGACCAGCAGTGCGTATCTAGTTGAAGGTGGAAATATATACACTTGATGATAATTCATGTGGGTGAAAAATGACATTAATTAACAAAAACTAAAGGGTGGGGTAAATTAACTTTCACGCATTCATTGCGGGTTACAATTTTATTTTTTTTCTGTCCATTTTAGTTTTAAACATTAAGTAATTAAAATTTTAGCTTTTGTATTTTTTTATTTTGTCTTTTTTATAGGATTAATATGGTTTATAAATTTTCCAAATAATTCAATTGCTTTGATACAAGGGTTTGATAAGCTACATTTTAATTGAACTTGAATTTTTTTTATCATCTATTTTTTTCTTATAATTAAAAAAATAATTTAAAATAAAAGTCATGTTATTAAATTTTATAAAATCCATAAACATATTCATAAGTTTGGTTGGTTGACCTGATTTATAAGTTTAATAAGTTAAACTCTTTTTTTTTTTTTTTTTATTTTATCCTTAGATGTTGAGTTAATTGAGAATTCAGTTTCATAATTGATTTTTTTTTTATGATATTATCATGGCTTAAGAAAAATCTCAGTATTGGATTGATGTTTAATTTTATTATTATATAATTAAATAAAAAATAAATTTAAAAAATAAATTATAATCTCACTAGGCCACTAGAGTTTATAACCCTATTTGCAGGTTTGTAAAGTTTATTTATTGTCCGGATATGCCTTTTTTCCTTTAATTGTTTTAAATTTATTTATTTTTTTTAATTTTTTCATTTAATATTGGAGTTGGTATTCAATTTTGTAATTGTTTATTTTTGTTATCATATAATTAAATAAAAAATAATTTTTAAAAAATAAATTATAATCTTACTAAAGTCCATAACCCGGTTTGCAGGTTTGAAGAATTTACTCACTGTATAGATATGCCTTTTTTCCATTAATTATTCTAAATTTATTTATTTATTTAATTTTTTCTTTTAATATTGGACCAATTGAGAAATAGACAAAATAATTTATTCTTGTTTATTTTCTATAATGTTGTCATTGTCTTAAATAGGTGTTTATTTTATATTGGTACTTAATTTTACGAGTATCTATTTTTATCATATAATTAAGTAAAAATTATTGATTAAAATATTTATTTATTAAACTCAGTAGAGTCCATGACCCAGGTTGGAGAAGAACTAGGATCAATATAATTTGTCACTATCTCAATATTATTTTTTTAAGTTGTCATTTTAAAGTTTATTTATAAAAAAAAAAATCTAAGTCATGGTTTTACTAGTTATCAAAATTGCATTTGAATCGATTTAATTCAGGTTAACTCCCACACGATTTAATTAGTAACTTGAGCTAGGTAAAGAATTGAGTGGGAAAATTTAGAATTTCATCCATTTAATCAAGTTTAATAATATTATTAAAAAAAATTAATACTTTCAATATTTTTTCACATTTAAATAAAAATTGATTCGATATTGAATGTGCAGTGAATGAATGGACAAGTTACAAGCTAATTTATTAAGCACCTAGTAGTCAAGCGGTAAAGGAGTGAACGAGGGTGTGGATCTTGTATTGATGAACTCTCTTTGGTGGTTTAATTGTTGGAAGTGACTGATCACTGGTATTGTATAGTTTATTATATTCTGTGTATTTTAAAACAAAATGATAATATAATACAAATGTTATACAAAAATATTACAAATGTGTTGACTCATTACATTATATAAGTATTACATTAAGAAAAGAGTAAGTTATGTAGTGACCTAGTACAGAAAGGTATAAAATAGACTAAAACATGGTTAAATCACAAATAACTTTAAAATCTTATTTTATTTTCAAAATATTAATTTGACCAACTTTATATCCCCTAGAGTTTTACAATGCCTATGAATCAATAGGCTAGAAAGCCGATCAATACTAAAGTAATGAAATCATAATCTTAAAATACAAAAGAAAATATTATAAAATTCAAAACAACTAAGAAAATTAAGGGAGATTGGCAAAACACGAAATTTCGAACCGAATTTTAGAATTTTCATGTAGCAGAGGATGGTTCTCAATAGAACTGGCCTAGGAATCTATTATAAAGATTTTAATATAATTCAATAATCATGTAAACAATGGTATAGAGTCCATCAGTGAACAAAGCATACCGAAGACCATCCTTTATTTAGTAACATCTTGTGTCCATTGAAATGGCACAGCTTCATCAATGGCCCTCGATCACTAAATATAGGCAAGCTTCTAAACAGGGACTGAGAATATGAGGGGTATCATTTCTGCTGGAAACACACTGAGGCTTGCATCCAATTGGCATTTCCCTTCAGAAAGCACTTAAAACTCCTCTTTGACCAGATAGCATCAGAGCACATCCAGGGTGATAGAAGAGAGGTTTCAAGGCCTCTTAGGCGGTCTTTTCTTGATGACAAACACAGTCCTTTGAATTCTTTTCTGTGTTGAGAAGATTAAAGACAGAAAATGTGGCTCTCGAAGGGACACGGTACCAAGAAGGGAGGAGAAGGAAATGGGCTGGTGGCAGTTTCTGTAGATAAAGACAAGGGGAGCCAAAATGCATTGAAATGGACTGTGGAAAATCTTCTCTCCAAAGGCCAAAATCTTATTCTAATCCATGTTTTTAACAAATCATCATCATTTGTCACAAGTAATTTATAATTCTCTCTCTGATTCGTTATCTAGAATAATGACAGATTAATGATGCTACGACCGACCTCTGTGCCCCAAAATTGAAAAGGGGTTGCTCAACTTGCATTCAATGCCTTGCAGCTCCTTTGATCTCTCAAGTGGTTTTTCAAGTTCTAGGTTTCATGTTCTAATCTTCTTTCTCTTCCACATGTTTGCATTGTTTCACAACCAGGCCATGGATCGCCTGGTGATTATTCTTCACCAGGGAAGCAGCAGCTGCAGAAGATGGCAAAGGATCTCTTCCTTACATTTCGATGCTATTGTACTCGCAAAGATGTACGTTTCTGAGCCTGTCATTGTTATTCCTCCTTTCCACGATATAAATATGCACCTTGAGGCGTGGAAAATGTCTAGAACATGAGAAGAATAAAAGTTAAAATACATAGGAATCTCTCTTATAACACAAGCATCCAAAATGACGGAAGAAAACCATCATTTTTCAAGTTCTCATGCCTTTATGCAGATAGATGTGCAAATGTACCTTGTTTTCTCCTTTCCATTTCAACATACAGATTTTTTATTTTTTATTTTGTATCAGGTACATTGCCTTGATGTTGCACTTGAAAGCACAGATATAGCAAAAGCAATAACAGAATATGTTTCCCATGCAGCAATCGAGACTTTGGTTCTCGGAACCCAATCACGGAGTGGATTTATGAGGTATTTTTGCCGTCCCTAGCCCCCTCCTGACTTGGCAACTCTACCTGCACACACCCCACCAGAATTTAAATTCAGGTTACCTTCAATCTGTGTAAAAACAGGAAGAACAGACTATTTCCAACAAAAGGAACTCAGTTTTACTTGAAGAGTGCACCTTTTGGTATTGTGGTTGGGGTGTGTTTCAAAATGCATTTGGATTGATGCTGTTTGAGGTCCTCTTTTATGGTTTCGAGACCCTCACATCAAAAACTTTGAAAAGCATTCAAAACAGCATCAGTTTTGGTGCTATTTCAGATGAAAAGCACTTTGTTTTCACATAGGTCAACTTTCAGAATACTAGCAGAATTTTATATATTCTCCCCAACTCTGAACTTTGATTGGCAATATCTGATAAGCAAATCATTGAACAGTCAGGATAAATCACATACAGATGGAAAGATAATCAACAATAACAATCACGAGAGATGAAAATTGAGAATTCAATTCCATTTTTTGCTGATGTATTTGTGCATTGAGCGACCAGACTCATTTAACTCCATTGGTTTTGTTATACAGAAAATTCAAGGCAGATGTACCAAGCACTGTGTCAAGAGGGGCACCTGATTTCTGTACTGTGTATGTTGTATCAAAAGGAAAGGTCTCTACAATGAGAAATGCTTCTCGTCCTGCCCCATTCGCCTCCCCACTTCTAGATCAAATACAAAACCAACAGAACCAAAATAGTCCAAGGGTAGATTCTTCTGAAGCACTATACAAACATGTTGGGGGCATAAAAGGTTTATTCTCCCAATCATATGGTCCTTTTTCCATTTTATTTTGTCTTAATCCTAATCCAAAATCCAATTTATGGTCTTCTCCTGACAGAGAGAACGATGCCAGTCAAGCCTGGTATCTCAGTTGGTGAAACCTTCAGGTAAGTAAGGAATGCATCAAATCATTTTAGAAGATGAGAGGGGATGGCAGTGAACATGATATAATATAACGTGCATATATAATCAGTAAATATTTATGGAGTGATAGTCTGGGATGTCTTTGTAATATATTCTTCTTCTTTTTTATTGCTAAAGCTTGGCTATGATTTAATCTGTTCAAAGGCTGAACATAATACAATTGTTGGTAACAACAGGTCACCATTTGGAAGAGAAGGGCAGGGTCATAGTGTAAAATCATTTGCAGATCTCAAGTCAGAAACTGACATATCATTTGTCAGCTCCAGCAGGCCAAGCACTGACCGCATGTCTTCTGTAACCTATGATTTCATGGATTCTGGAGCAACCCCTCGGTTTTCAACTAGCTCAGACACTAGCTTTGCATCTATACAATCAGGACCAAAGTTCTTTAGCCCCAATTACCATCAGGGATTTTCATCAATTTCACAAGATAGCGGCAGAACATCTTTTACTGGTTCAACACACAGCCTGGTAAGCAATTAACCGTTTTGACAATAGCATAATTAGGTAAATAAGCTCAACTAACCATCAAACACTGTAAACACTTAAGGAAATAAAGGATGTTTAATAATAGAGTTATTATTTTAACCATTTTTTTCCTATTAACAGGAAAATTAATCTAGTTAGATCATATCCTCAAGTTGTTTGATTCAGGCTACACTGTGAATATTGTCAAGAACATGCAATTTAAGTTTTTCTTCTTGGGTTATACACTGAATTCTGCAAAATAGCTAAGATTATTCGGTCAATTTAGATAGAGTAACATCTTATATATGATGGCTTGTAGCATAATCTTACATCGATCTTTCCATGATTGGAAAAGGCAATTTTATATTTTGATTTCTTTAGCCTTTCATTTGTTGTTTTAACATTAAAGTCAATAAGACTGCGCAAAGTGTGATAATAAAGCACAGATGCATGATCTAAATGCTTTCTCCTAATCTATAATTGAAACATACAAGATGACATGGAGTCTGAGATGAGGAGGCTAAAACTAGAGTTGAAGCAAACAATGGACTTGTACAACGCAGCATGTAGAGAAGCACTTACAGCAAAACGGAAGGTACAGAGAATTCATGTTTTCTACGTGCACTAGTAAGATTCCCAGTAGGTTCTAAAATGGTATGTATATAGGCAACAGAGCTGAATCGCTGGAGAATAGAAGAAGAACGAAGATTGGAAGATTCTAGGTTTTCCGAAGAAGCTGCACTGTCGATTATAGAGCAAGAGAAAGCCAGGTGCAGAGAAGCCATAGACGCTGCTGAAGAAGCTGGGAAGAGAGCTGCAATAGAAGCGCAAAGGAGACTCAACATAGAGAAAACCCTCAAAGAAGCTGCAAAAACGAAACGAGCAAAGGATAATCTATCTTATCATGGTATCAGATACAGGAGATACAGTATTGAGGAGATTGAAGTAGCAACACAATACTTTTCGGAATCAAAGAAGATTGGGGAAGGAGGTTATGGCCCAGTTTACAACTGTTATCTTGATCATACACCAGTTGCAGTCAAGGTTTTACGTCCTGATGCAGCCCCGAGGAAGGTCTCAATTTCAAAGAGAGGTGAGAAACAAAGAAAACTGATTAATAATGCGATTGAAAATGCTTTTCCAAAGTGCTTTTTTGTCTAAAAGGTACCAGATTGATGATTTTTAGGTGCTTTTGAATGATTTTGACTTTGACATATCAAAACCATTAAAAAGCACCAGTAAATGCATCAAATGGATGTTTTCTCAACCAAAACCTTATTGAAAATCACCTGACCTGCAGTGCCTTGAGTGTTCTAAATTGAAAGAGAAAAAAAACAATGAGTATAACATTTTCAAAGCATATGAATCGAAGTTATATAGACAGTTTTTTAAGAGAAGAAAATGAGCATTATGGAATTGAAAATCTAGTCTGTACCTTGCAGGTTGAAGTGCTTAGCTTAATACGGCATCCAAACATGGTACTGCTTCTAGGAGCCTGCCCAGAGTATGGTATTCTAGTCTATGAATACATGGCAAAAGGAAGCTTAGAAGACTGTCTCTTCAAGAAAGGGAATACACCAGCTCTTTCTTGGCAAATCAGGTTCCGAATTGCAGCTGAGATAGCCACAGGTCTGCTCTTTCTCCATCAGACCAAGCCAGAGCCACTGGTTCACCGTGACCTCAAGCCAGGAAACATTTTGCTAGACAACAATTATACCAGTAAGATTAGTGATGTTGGATTGGCCAGGCTTGTTCCCACTACTTCTGAGAATGTAACACAATACCACATGACATCAGCTGCTGGAACTTTCTGCTAGATCCTGAGTATCAACAAACTGGAATTATTGGTGTGAAATCTGATGTATATTCCTTCGGGATCTTGCTTCTGCAAGTCATAACAGCCAAACCACCAATGGGCTTGACTCACATTGTTGAACGAGCAATTGAAAATGAGACGCTCAAAGAAGTTCTAGACTCAGATGTGCCTGATTGGCCAATTGAAGAGACTCTATGTTTTGCAAAGCTTGCACTCCAATGTGCAGAACTGAGACTGAAAGACAGGCCAGATCTTGGCACAGAAGTCTTGCCAGAGCTCAACAGACTGAGAGATTATGCTGAAGAAAAGATGAACTACCTTTTTTTAGCTAGAGCTTTCGGCCCCTCTCCCAACCACAGCCTAGCTTCAATAACTCCTCCCATCAGCCAAACCTCAATAACTCCCACCAACCTTAGCCAAACTTCTGCAACTCCCACCAACCTCAGTCAAGTTTCAATAACTCAGGTTAGTACTGACACAATTCCTTTGCTTATGAGCCCACTGAAAGTTAAACTCGGGCAACAATATTAAAGAATGAGGAAGAAAAGGGACTGTTACATGAAATTCCAAGAAAGAAGTATTAAACAAATGCCATCACAAGATTTGACATGATCATTGTCTTGTAGTAGCAAGCATATAAATTCTCCATTTTCCCAACTAAACTGGGGATATTAGATTTTATTCTAAATATTGTTGATAAACATTCTGCAGGAAGCGATGAGCAATACTGTAGTTGGAAATCTAGGAGGCCCGAAGAGCCAATCAAGCAGTTAATGGCAAGCAGAAGCAGAAGCAGGTACTGAAAACGATTATGTTATTACATGGAAATTAAAGGTCACCTTAATTATTATTAACTTGTTCAAAAAATCTTACTCTCAGAACCAACACAAGAAAGCTAAAAGAAGGCCAATGGTAGTTTTCTTGCAGCCACATTTTTACAGAGAATCCATCCAATGAGCAATTTTAGCCCCTGACAGCAGAAACATGAAGTTGGGGATTTTGTGTTGCTTTGGGTTTTCAATGTATATATATATCATGCACATAACTCAAATGCTGTTATTTTACAACTTTTTCAGACAGCTACCTTTTCTGCTATCAGCAAAAGGTTTCAAACCGTACATATACTTGGCATAACTCAAATGCTGTAATTTTACTCTACTCTGAAAATCTGGCAAACAATGGGAAAAATCAAAATTCTCACTTACACACATTTATCATAGTACCAGAAGTCCTAAACCATACCAATCCATACATTTTAATGAACTTGATCTTATTTTTTCCCTTTCAATTCCCCTTCAGTAACTAGAAAAGAGCAAGAAAACCCCATTTTTCTTTTCCCTCGTTTGTCCTTAACCAAACTGGCCAACAAAAGAGTGAGCAAGAGCAAGAAAACCCCATTTTTCTTTTCCCTCGTTTGTCCTTAACCAAACTGGCCAACAAAAGAGTGAGCAAGAAAAGAGCAAGAAACAACACCAGTACTTCTCAGTCTTGCACTCATCAGCTTCTTCTGATACTTGAAATCAAGAACAGGAAACGGATAAAATAAAGGGTCAAGGTGAAGAAGTCAAGTCTAAAAGTGAGGCCCAGGTTGAGATTCAGGTTTGTCACTCTTTCTCTTTTATTATTTATGGAACTTATTGTTACGCGTGTAGGAAACATTATGTAATTACGCACTCACAAGTGGTTTTATTTATGTAAAAACTGAAAAGTTATATTCTTCTTCTATAGGCCGAAAGTCGAGAAAGAAGAAGCTCATAGCCCTGATGATGTTCAACGATTGTACTTGGTTCTAGGGCCAGAGTCTGGTGACACACAACATTCCTGAACATACACATCATAAAACCACTAATCAAAAATAGGAGGAAGCTCAGACATGCTCGTAAACCTAATCAAAAAGTGCTTCCAAAAAAAAAACAAAAAAAAAGATCTCTGAAAAGAAACAAAACTACGAATCATAGAGAAAAATCGCAAATCACGAACCGGAGCAGCATCACGCAACCTAAGCCATGGAACATCAGGTGGTTGCGCCAGCAAAGGTCGTCAAAAGAGCCGAAATCCTGAGAAAGAAAGCAGAAAATAACACCACAGAGCTAAATTCAACTCCAAATAAATGAATAAATTCGGGACAATACATGGGAAAATAACTGTCAAATGACAATGGGTGAGAAAAAACAATGGAAACCTGGAAAATGATAAAAAAACCAACGACGGTAAATTGAATTCCAATAGAGCTACACGACTGTGCAGAAGAGAGAAAGCAGGAATGCAAAACCATGTAAAGAAAAGCGATAGATTATCATAGCGACTCCTTCATAGGTTTCCCAATCAGACTCAAATTAAGCTGAAAATTCATACCATTGGAAAATTCATAGGTTTCCCAATCAAAGTTGATGCAAAACGTACTCCCATTGGTGGCTTCAATTGAGAGGGAAGGTCAGGGCGGGAAACCA